TTATCTATTAAGTATGAATATTTTAAATATTTGAGAGAGTGTTTTTATTAAAGCTTGCTTCGATTATTGAAGGCCTACCCATTATGTTACATGTACCTTCCTTTATATAGAAAGGAAATCCTATCCTATAGCTACTGCACTTATACTTATCTGCACACTACTTTAATAATGCACACCTACCACATCTACCACTTTACACTTGCCCATTAATAATGCACACCACTCCTACCTACCACTTTAATATGCACATACTTTAATAATGCATACTACCCTACACTTGTTGACTAATTTACATAATTTATTCCTACTCCACTAACTTTCTTACAATAAGACGAAAATAATGCACCTAATAATTTACAATAATGCTCCTTTACATAGTACTATTCACTTTATACTATTTGCTTTTGACTTTTTTGGCTAAATATGTCTTCTTTGCCTTATCTCTTTAGTTGTCTTTATCTTCTTTGTCCCTATCTTCTTTGTCTTCATATCTCTTTGACTTTATTCTAGCTGGACATCAGGAATCACATTGTCTTCTCCATTACATTTGAACATATATGGTCAGGATATTTGTGTCCGATTAGCTTACAATATCTGGTTAATAGTTCTGACGAAATAAATCCTGCCTTTAATGCTCTTGTTGTAGGTCTTTCTTCTGGTTTTAATAATGATAAAATCCATCGCTGGACTTCATCCATATCTCTATTGGTACTCCTCCAATGATTATTTCCTTCTCTGTAGTTTCTTCGGTATTTATTAATCCTTTTGGTAGTTCATGGCATAATTGTTCAGTAGTTATTATTTCATCTTCTGTTACTAATTCTCTTGTAATATATTTTTCTTCTTATCCTGTATTTATTAATATTAAATATTTTTGTTGTTCCATTATTCCCGTTATGTAGTAACTCCAATATCTTCCGGTATTATCATCTATTTGGTCAGGCCTATCTTTACAATTTGAATGGGAGGTTTTATCTCCTCATGTAATATCTCTGTTGTTGCCGTATAGAATTTCACATAAAATAAATTTCCCTTGGTCACTTTTGTATATAATAAATGCTTTGTATAATTCTGGTATGCCACTTAGTTCTTCTCCTTCATAAGTCTCATTATAATTATAGTCATTATTATCTATGACTCTGACTATTCTTTCAAAAGAATTTTCTATTTTTATTTTATTTATTTTATTTTTTGCTGTTATTTTATGTTTTGTTGTTAAAACATATAAGTTTTTACATGTTATATAGTCTTGGTTTGGATCTTTTATAGTAGTAGATCTGGGATTGAGGTTTAGGTAACTCTGTATTTTGTATATATTTTCGATGTATGTCCTTGTGATGTGGTTATACACATTTTTCTCATGTTGTAGGCTATCTGCATACGTTGATGTTTGTGATCTATGGTTAATGGGTTTTTTGCTTTTTGTGTAAATGTATATGAGGTAATATTTTACTACACTTATTATACTTTTTTCTATTGGTTGTATATTTCTATGGGTGTATCTATTTCTTCTCTAAAACATTTTTCAATAACTGGTCTTCTTGTACCTGCAGCTATATTTAGACAATCATTATGGGTTTTAAGGTGTTTCCCAACGCCACCTCTTAGCTCTGGATTTTTAAAGTCTTCCAATCGACTTAGCTCCGCATTTTTGTAGTCATGCTGCTGACTTGTACTAGCTTTAGACTTCAGATTATCTTCATTAGTCTTAAGCTTTTGTATCTCATTGTCCAT